ATAATTTTTGTTTTGTTTTGTTTTGTTTTTTTCCCCATAGGTTTTTAACGTTCTAAAAGCTCTTTATTCCAAAGATACTACAAGCTAGTCAGTGTATTCAGTAGGTGTAATGTATTGTAAGTTGCTTCAGAGGTATTGCAAGTACAGTGCCTTGAGAAAGTATTAATTTTTTTCACACTTTATGTTGCTGCCTTATGTTAAACTACTTTAAATTATTTTTTTTCCACGTCATTCTACACTCCATACACCATAACGGTAAAGCAAAAAACAGGTTTTTAACATATTTGCCAATTTAATCAAAATAAAAAACTTAAATGATTCCATTGCATAAGTATTCATACCCTTATCTGGGACAGTTGAAATTTAGCTCAGGAGCATTCATATTGCTTGTAGATGTTACTACCCTTCGAGTGAAGTTAACCTGTGGAAAATTCAATTGAATGGGTATGATTTGGAAAGAACCTTAATTCCAAGCATCATGTTTGAAGGAAACCAGGCACTGCTCATCACCTGCAGAGTACCATCCCAAAAGGAAAGTGTGGTGGTAGCAGCCTCATGCTGTGGGGCTGTTTTTCAGTGGCAGGGACTGAAGGACTCATCAGAATAGAAGACAAGCTCAATGCACCAAAATATTGAGATAGCCTTAATGAAAACCCAGTCCAGAGCATTCAGAACCTCAGACTGGGCAGAAGGTTCACCTTCCAACAGGACAATGCCCCTAAGCACACAGCAAGAGTTGCTTATCGACAACTCTGTCAATGTCCTTGAGTGGCCCAGTCAGAGCCTGGGCTTGAACCCAATCAAATATTTCTGGAGAAACCTGAAAATGTGCATTTGCCCCCATCCAACCTGACAGCTTGAGAGGTGAAGAGGTGAGGAGAAGAATGGCAGATAATTGCCAAATGATAATGATGCTGATCAAAGCTTGTCGCATCAAACAAAAAAATACTTGAGGCTGTAAAGGTGCTTCCGCTAAATATTTAGTTAATGGTATGAATACTTATGCAATGTACTTATTTCAGTTTTTTTATTTTTTATAAATTTACGAAGTTGTGGCAATTCTGTTTTTGCTTTGTCAGTATGGTGTATGGAGTGTAGATTGATGTGGGAAAAAAGTACTTTAAAGCAGTTTAACATAAGGCAGCAACATAACAAAAAACTTGAAAAAAAAATGAAGGGGTATGAATACTTTCGCAAGGCATTGTATTACATACAACAATAATAAAACAGTGCATTGACATAAAAAAGGAAATGTACTTTTGGTACTTAAGTACTTTTAAAAGCAAGTACTTCTGTACTTTTACTTAAGTAAAAATCTGTCTTTATAACTTTTACTTGTAATGGAGTAATATTTGACCAGCAGTATCTGTACTTTCACTTAAGTAATGGAGTTGTGTACTTTGTCCGCCTCTGACTGTAACTCACGGGGGTAAAAATCCCCTTCGTACTGCAGGACATCACAGAAACATGCTCACCTCCTCTTCTGTCAGATACATTAACAGTCTCACGCACTGCACTTCTGGCTTACTCATTATGAACCAGCTTGCTGGGTGGCTGGATAATTACTGTGCAAATATAAAAGTGATGTGTGCATTTTTTTTTTTGCAGTGTAGACAGTGAGCCTGTTTTACCTAGTCGAGTTTTTATATGCCATGTGGCATATAGGGGCTGGTAGGATGTTCACCAAGTCTATTTCATGGTACAAAATATTGGTACAATTTAATATCTTTACAATTTAAAATAACGTTTCTATTTTAAAATATTTCAACAATGAATTTATTCCTGTTTGGCCAACATGAATTTTCAGCATTACTCCAGTCTTCAGTGTCACATGACCCTTCCAAAATAATATAATATGCTGATATGGTACTCAAGAAATATATCTTATTATTCTCAATGTTGAAAACAGTTGTGCTGCTTAATATTTTTGTGGAAACTGTGACATTTTTCAGGATTCTTTCATGAATAGAATGTTCAAAAGAACAAAACTGATTCTAAATAAAACTCTTTTTAACATTATAAATGTCTTTACTATAATTTATATTAAATTAAATTAATTCATTTTATACACACATACACACACACACATTTTCATATATCTTAAGATTTCAAATTTAGACGAGTAAAGTGATAGAAAACCTTTGAAATTAATTGCTACACAATAATACCATAATGTCAAATAAAAAGAAAATGCATTACGTGTGACACTATTGTAATTCATCATATTGATTAAGTACAACAAAACAAACCGATTAATTAATATTGTGCTAAATTAATCTGTTAATCATTTGTAAGGAGTTCATATTGTATATAAAATGCTTACATTTTCTAAGCTGTCAATACATTAATAATATAAGTTACCTCATCTTTTTAAGTGGGAGAACTTGCACAATTGGTGGCTGACTAAATACTTTTTTGCCCCACTGTAAGTACTAGAACAACACTTTATTTGCACATACCTGCTATTACTAATGAGATTACATTGAATCATATAAGAAGCAGAATATCATAGAGTGTGCTTTTTGACTTAAATTGTTAAGCAAATAACCAAAACACCCTAGCAACTGCATTGCAACCACAGCTGTGCTGCAATGCAACCACAAACAAAACACCCTCTCACTATAGCAAGGGATTTTACATCAACGAACACTACTCACATTTTTAAATTGTAACACAAGATTAAAAATATATATATGTGTATGATGTAAGAAATCATACAGAGCTCACTAAGCAGTATAACAGTATAGGGAGAGAATGGGTCTCATGTCTTTCTTGTGACAGATTGAAGCTGGAGGAGGAATGAAATGAAGGAGAGATGAAACACCACAAGCAGCAGATACAGTGATAAATGGATAAATGAACTCTAAATGATGTTTGGGGGAGTGACTGGACGTTGATAGATGGATTGATTGAGACAGTGACTGATGGATGCACCGATTGGTGGCAAGTGTTGAAGGCGGGTTGTGCGTCACACTGGAGCACTTAACAGTGTCATATTTCAGATTAATGCTGCCAGAGATGAATTTGCTGTTCTTTGAGATGAACACAACTGATGTAGGATATTTTATTGCAATCTCTTAGTGTCAAAATGTGTCATTTCTAGTAATAAAAATGTTTAGAAATCAGGATAAAGCATTGCATCATTGTAGAATAAATACAAACAACTGTTCAAAAGGGTCAGTCAGATATTTTTTTTACTTTTAATCAGCAAGAATGCATAAAACTGATCAAAATTGACAGTAAATACTTTTTAAATTGTTACAAAAAATATTATATTTCAAGTAAATGCTTTCTATTCATTTCTATTCATTGAAGAATCCTGAAAGAAATCATATATCACAGTTTCCACAAAAATATTAAGTCATATGATGTTGCTACAAAGAACATTATTTTGTGTATTTGGTGTAATGAAATGTGTTTATGCGGTTAAAAGTAAAAAAAACACATTATTTTCCACATACTGTACATTATTGTTTCTCCTCTATGCCCCGCCTTTCTGAAACGCGTCGATTTTTACAAAGCTCATCGGTCTGAAAAGTGAGATGTACTGTGATTGGCCAGCTATCCAGTGCATTGTGATTGGCCGAATACATCAAGCATGTGACGGAAATGTTATGCCCCTTACCATACTGTGATGCCGTGTCCCGGCCGGAGTGACGAGACAAAACCAATAAAACCCATTATAAACGAGGCATTTGTTGCATCCAGTGGGGACATAATTTCGGATTATAATGACTTTATAATGCATTGCATCGCGCCGCGTAAACATAAAACCATGTCTGCATTTGTGATCGGAGAAATTACAAACAACAAGCGCTACTCTACACTGCTCAAAACTCGTGTTTGAATCATCAGCGAGGATGAAAATCCATCGTAAAATGTTTAAAAATATGTAGTTCAGTCATGAAACTCTAGATGACGCAGGCTGAGGTTTTTAACGTAACTGATGATATTCAGAGAGTTAAATGGCTTGGCACAAGCTGATTGGTTCATGCTCCATATGCAGCCAATGAGCTTACTGCCTTGCATTTATATGGCTGGCTAGTATTCACTAGAGATTCCTGCAGCACGCTTTCAGAGTTTCTCTGAAACCCTCCACCTTCCCCAGCTCCACCTGTACGAGTTATTTTATATGCTTTTTGTGCAGCAGCAGTATGTCTTAAATACTCACGGCACTGTATCACCTTATGCATTGGCAGTAGCAAGTTCCTGTACTTGCTTGCAGCAACAGCAATAATCTATAACTACAGTAATAACCAACAGCAGCAGCAATTCAGCAGCAGCAGCGTAGCAGATCTATTCCGCCAAGACCAAATACATTAACATTGTCATATCCATCACCATGCTAAAATCATCCGAGCGTTGTCATGATTGAACTGTTATAATAAAAAATAGTGAAATGATACATTAAAATATTTTTTGTGTAAAATTATTTAGGTAAATGAAAAAATGCATACAAATAAATTCCTAGTTAAAAGAACATTTCTATTCCACATAATTCTCAACAAAAATTCAAATTATGCTAAAAAGAAGACATTTAATTGTGCACATTTAGAATTTAAGTGATTAAATTAGCCTATGGAAGACAAAGGAGTCAGCCATTAACTTAAGAAAAATTTTCTAAATTAGTTTTCACCTCCAACAATTCCATCACAGAACATTATTAAACAAAATGACATTGGAAATAACACTGTGATGTGAATTAGAGAAGAAGAAGAAAAACATACTAAGTGTGTGGAAAGTGTTTTAGGAGAGCTTATTTTCTAAAAGTCCTGACAGGCAAAAGTGCCACATCGTAGTAGCACAATGTTCACTAAAGGCTTTTAGTAACAGCATTCTGAGTAATATGTCTAAAAGAGAGAGGGTAAGTGTATGAGTGTCTAATAGTCAAAGAAAAAGAAACAGAGATCAAAACGGAGCAGTCACAAGCGTATTGTTTTTAGGCGAAGTTCTAGGTATGTGGTTCAGTCTTGCAAAGTATTAATCCTGGCATTGTTATACAAGTTTGTGTGTGTCTTCATAGATCTGTTGAGGCTGAAAGGCTCTGCGATTGCTTTGGGGGATTATAACAGGCTTTATCAGCAAGATAAAGAGTTCAAAAGAGCAGTCTGCCCTTAGTGCTGCTTGCTCTAATCTCTTATGCATATCAGCTACAGTATTAACACAACTCCTCAGCATTCTAATAGCGTCTTTGAATAAGACAGTGATCCATTCGGTTCCATAATGGTGCAATATTTCACAACAGATGACCAGGCAGGAGATTGTGATGCATCCAAGACTGTAAAATGCCTTGTGACATTTAAATAAGACAGGCGGTTCTTTGAAATTAGTAATCACCCCACATTGAACTAATAGGCTTCTCAGGATTGTTTGTGAAAAAAAGATTGAAATAAAGGGAGACTTTTTAGTTGTTTTTTTTTAGTTGCCTTGGAACTAAATCACCATTCAATAGAAAATTTAGACTATAGTTATTTGATTCATAACTAAAGTATGGTTTTCCATATTTATCTTTATGGCTACAATGAATGCTCCATTGTCCGGTTTAAAGAATAGCGGAAACATTGAATGGCCCAGTCAATGCTGCTTGAGATCTCTGTGAAACTAGCTGGGACTCTATGAGTGGCCAGTGGTCATACCTGCATTAAGACCAATCACAATCCAATCAGCTGCTCATCCAGCTAGACTCACTCACTCTATGCTCTATTATGTCAGTTAAAGATGGATTTCTTCGCTGCTAACCCTGAAAGAATAAAAAATGACTTTAAATTGCTTTAAAATTACAGTTCTATGAAGTTCTGCAAAAATTACCCCAAACAATTGCTGTTCGTACTCACATAATAGTATGAGTTAAAGAAGAAAACACACATTTATTCTTATAGTCGCAATGAAAGGAAGTAGCGTCAGATCTTATCTTCCATAATGTAATATACATTCAAGTGAAAGAGAGTGAAATGACTGGATAAGTCCAGCATGTTGCTTCACTGGATGATTGAGTTCTGATACATTTTGATTAAAAATTACAAGGTCAAAAATAAAAGAAAGACATGCATGGATGAATCATTCAAAATAAGACAATAGATAGGGTGGAATTTCATTTTATGCCAACTTAAAGTAACATAAAGCTTCCTCAATGGCTTATGCAGATTTGCATGGAGTATAGACTTCTCGACTTGACTATATGATCCTTTGGAGATTAAGTGAGTTCTTTGATGTTGCAGTGCAGGCTCTATTTCGGCGAAGTACTGTCTTTGAAATACCACAGCTATTTTCTTTGTAGGTAATAGGCATACATGTAAAGGATCTATCTATGGTGGAAAGATCTTTTGCTTTTCTGACAACTATCAAAAAGCCAATTGCCCCTTTTGCTTAAAGGCGGGACTTCCATTCCTATATCTGTCATACTGAGCAATGCGATTTCTCCTGTTCATTTTTCTATGAGTGGTCCGTCTCCACCTCCTTATAATGTGTCTGGCATTGGTTTCTAGATGGATTTCTAAAGAATGAGAGAACAAAAAGTTCTTTGTTGAGGTGAAAAGTGGGAAGTTTTAGTTACCCTAAGGAACATTGTGCATTGGAGCCAAGAACCAAGTAATGGACTTCTTATGGATTTCTGGACAGGACTGACAAATCTTAAAGGGTGTCTGCAAGCTGTAGATACTGTAGGTAATGGAATATCACTATGATCCTAAACACAAATGGAACAGAGCAACAGTGAGTTGAAATGTGCACATATTACCTAAAGTGAGCATTTTATAGTTAACTGAACCAAAATATCTTTAACCATATGTGTAAACTCAACTAGCATCTGCAAGTTTAAGATTAATGCCAACACAGGTTTTATTGGAACATATAAAATCTGAATGCAAATATGAGATGTGCTATAATGATTGTTTGAAAATAAAATATACATATATAGGTTGCAGTGTCAGGGTTGAAATCTTGGGTTGAAAATATTCAGTGGCTGCAAATAAATTCATTAACATAACAGTGGCATTGAGCTACAGTCAGTCAAATATGCACTGACAAAATAAACTGTTCTTATATAAGCTGTCAGTCAAGCACAGGCACATATACTCATTGCCAACACAAGATAAGCCAAAGGAAATGTTATTATAACTACTGGCTAAAAGTGTACTTCACCTTCCAGTCTTTTTTCACACATTTGGGTTACTGTTTACACAGCTGAAATGCCAGCAACACCATTAGGAAAGTGCAAGGCACAAACTAACACTTTTTGGCTTTCTCAAGTTTGTGTAAATGCATTTGGGGTAAAAAGTAATTTCCTTCTTTCACATTAATTTTACACATGCCTGTTACAAATATGAGGTCTTGCTTTATGAATACAACATAAACTTTTTTGCTATTTTCCCATAAATTAGGGAAGTAATGTATGGGGTTCGTTGTAACATGATCATATGACTGCTTAAATTCCTCTTCTAAACATTTTATCTGATCTAACTGAAAAAATACTACATGAAAAGCAAATTTTTTTTATTAAAAAATATTTTATCTTCAGTGTAAAATGTACTTTTACTGTGGTTAAATGAACTTGGCACATCTTGGTGCATTTTTTCCCTTCGAAACACTGTGTTGATATAGCAACGAGTAAATAAATAAAGTTTCGTCATGTGTGGGTGGAAATCGTATATATGTGCTGTCTTCGTTTGTGCTCTACTCGCCCCTTTATTTATTTGGGAATTGAAGTATAGACAAAATATACACAAATTAGCATTACATCTGTTGCATTACAACTCTTCAACTATTTGATGGTTTTGTAAACTACATGTGACTGACTACCACAAATACCATTTCAATGAAGACTTTCTAGTTGTCAGATGTTAGTGGAGCATGTAAATGGTTAATGTGATGAACTACACCTGTGGTTACTCGTTTAGGACACCTGTGTGAACATGAAATGAACTGACTACATATATTGCATACATCATGCCTATGGTACAATGTGAGCCAATGTGAGCACCGGTACCTCCTGTCTGTGAAACTTTGAGATGTTGTAAGGTGGAAAAAAGTCTTACTTGGAGCTCAAAAAGGAATGAAAATGACACAACCCAGAGACTGTCTGGCCTTTCTAACAAAACATGCAATGAGACAAGAAGGGGAATTGTCTGAAAAGTGACCAAGAGACCAGCTTTAACACAAATAGAGTTTGAGCTATTTGGCTGAAATGGCAGAAACAGTCTAGACATCAACAATCTTTATAACACTTCACAGATTTGCCTCTGGGAAAGTGGCTTGGAAAAAACGCCAGCATTGAGTCACATCAGGCTTTGCTGGAAGCCATGTGACCAAGCTAAAAATTTTGGATGAAAAGATTGTGTTCTAAAGAGACAGAAGTTAAGGTATTTGGCCTGAAAGCAAAGCACTATGTTTGGCGCAAGCCAAAAACAGCCCAACACCCAGGTAACACCATCTCTTCTATCAAGCGTGGTGAATGGCAGCATTATGTCCAGACATTTCTTTTTAGCTGTAGGAAATGGAAAGCTTGTTGGCATGGACAGAGAGCCTTATACAAGTAAAGCCTTTAAGAGAGCATGTTTCAATCAGTCAGAAATCTGCATGCTGGATAAACATTCATTGTCAATAGATCATTGAAAGATACATTATATTTGCAAATTATAACTCAATATAGCAAATATAAAATATAACTATATATTAGGGGCGTAGCGATACACACAGGCCTGTTCGTATTTGTGATGAATGGGGGCGGGGGCCGAGAGCCGTGGGAACGGAGTGAGGCCAGTGGAGTAATTGATAATGAGCGACACCTGCACCACTCACCGATCTCGAGTCTCACGGAGGAGCTCCGGAAGGATAAAAAGGAGGAGTGACGACAGTGAAAGACAAGAGAGGACCAGGCCTGGACTTTATTTTGTGTTTTGGTTCTGTTTGTGCGCGACAGTCGTCCGCAAGGGGCTGTCGCGCTATTTTGTGTTTGTTTTATTATTAAAGTTTTCTTTGAATGTTCGCCGGTTCCCGCCTCCTTCTTCCCATGACTACAAACATTTGTTACATTGGTGTCGAAACCCGGGAGGAAGGAGGGACATGCTGTCAGAGAGCCCTCGCTGCTGAGGGGAATTGCGGTGCTGAGGAGATCGGAACAAGTGGAGAGACCGCTGGTGGCTGCCCGAGGCGGTGGTGCTGGAACAATGGAAAACTAGGTGGGACGGAGAGCTCGCTGCCGCGCTCCTGCTTCGAGGAGGGGTGGCTTCCATCCGAGAGGGAGCGGAGGAGTCGGCCCCGTTCGCCAGGAGGCCGGAGCCTGCTGCCATCCGCCATGATTGGGGAGGAGCAGGGAACGGGGGACTCGCTGCCGGCTGCCCTCAACAGGAGGAGCCATCACCGTCCGCCAGGAGGCGGAGGAGCGGTGGGCCGTCCACCAACAATGTCCAGTACCATCGCATGGCACTGCGAGTGAGAGAGGAAAAAAAAAATATCAGTCCAGTTCCCGGACACACTGCCGCTTGGTCGTCAACCGGCTTGATAATTTTTTTTCCCTCTCTCCCCTCTCTCGTAGCTGTCTCTCCTCATCCTTCCGTTTCCTTTTCTCTCACCTCGTCTATCTGTCCTTACCCCCAGGTACGCCGCGGCCGCCGTGATCAGCTCCCCCGGAGGGGGGGAGTAGAGCGCAGTCTCGGGAGTACCCCCCGGCCTGCGAGGGGCGATGGAGGTATGTGACGAGTTTGTTACAGTATTGAACCATTCGGTATGAGGCTTTCGGTTCGGTATGCATTACATAACCGAACGATTCGATTCGTTGGACTAATCCTATTATATTTGGAAAATAAAACAGCTTAAAGTGTGTGAAATATAATATTCTCAGTGCCACTGCACTCAACAAGGCAACCCAAACGACGTAACGGGCAATGTGCTGTCTGCCCAGTGATAACCTCCCCTTGCTGGGGTGCGTCAAAAGACGATGGTCTTGTGTCGACGATAGCCAGAGATATTGTCAAAAACATAAATTGTTGGCAATATTAAGATATTTGGTATTTCCAATTAATGTAGCCTTTTATTAGGCCTATTATTATTATTATTATTAAGTTAGCCTACTTTTATTATTAAATTAAAATTAAAATTAATTTGCACCGCAATAATTACCAAATAACTGACGTGCTGCGAGGATAACAAAAGATTAGGCTATTTACTCCTCAATTAAAATGTAAAAAAAAAGGTATTTTAAAACAGGGCTATTATACAATTAATTATAGGCCTACAATTAAAATACTAGCACTGCAGTCATCAATAAAAATGAATGAAATAAGAAGCTTTAGCCTATTTCATGCACCGACTTTCAAAAATAACCTGTTTAACACAAAATATGTTTCTTCACATTTTTTTCCCTATGCAATATTAGAAATATTAAGGGAATAAATGAAAACAGTTATATACCGTTATCAGCATATGTTAAAGTAGATTTGTCTCTCGTCGTCTCTGAGAGAATATGCGATGTCAGATGCAGAAAGCTCTGTCATTATTCCGTAATTCCATTTTTACTTTCACCTTCTGCAGTGAATTGACTGAGATTAAGACATTCACCAGCATAACTCTTGCGCAAAGTTTGCATGTTGCTTGTGTGTGATATCCATTGGCTCGCCTTCATGGTTTTAAACAGAAATATTTCCAACATTACGACGTAACCAATTTCCCCCATACAGAACATAGGCTAACAAACCTAACCGTGACTGTGTCGTATCGAACAGAACCGTGAATTTTGTGAACCATTACACCCCTACTATGTATATATATATATATATATATATATATATATATATATATATATATATATATATACTGTTATTATTATCATCGCAATTAGTGACAGACAGTGGTTTTATACAATATTTATGTACATTGTATATACACATTGAATTTACATATATACTGTATGTAATATTAAAAATAATACTATGATCTCAAACTCAAAAACAAAAGTAGTAGTAGTAATAATAACAATTAAGTTATTATTCAAAATAAAAGTATTGATTTATTTAAAAAAAATAAAACTTTTGAACAGTAGTGTATATTGTTACAAAAGATTTC